TTAGTTTGCATTGGCTGAAAGATTTTTCAGGATTGGAGGTTTTGATGACAAAACTAAATTGGATGTTGTTTCTGTGAGCTTGGTGGGAGATGTTTTGAGTTGGTATAACAGTGAGGCACACAGAAAGGGATTTAGCAGTTGGAACGAGTTTAAAGAAAAGCTGTTGGCGAGATTCAGTAAAGAAAAGTTTAGAGATCCAAGTCAACCGTTCTTTGCAGTCACACAAACAGGCTCAGTAGCAAAATACATCCATCGCTTTGAGGATTTATCAACACAGGTGACAGGGTTAACATATAAACAACTCGAAGGCATTTTTATGAATGGTTTAAAGGCGGAAATGAGGGAAGTTGTGAACATGTGTAAGCCTGTGGACCTAGAGGAGATGATCTCTACAGCTTATCAGATGGAAGATAGTGTTCTGTATAGAGTTGTGTGTCGCGAGCGACAACAGGAAGCTAAGAACACTAACCGCGGTGGCTTTACCAAACCATCTACTTCTCTGAAAAGCACTTCTACGTGGACAAAAAAAAATCAACAGACCAAGTCTAGTGAAGGTGGCACTCAACGACCTCAGTTGCGTTTATCTGAAGCTCAAATTGAAGAGAAAAAGAGGTTGGGGTTATGCTTCACGTGTGATGAAAAGTGGTCTAGGCAACACGTGTGCCCGAACCGCACATTACAAGTACTGACCTTAGTCAATGGAATTGAGATGGAAATTGCGGATCAGTCGTTGGTCGAAGTGGATGATGAGGGGGTTGATACAAAAACGTCTATGATGAGTATTTCCTTGAACTCTTTCTTGGGTTTATCTTCACCAACAACTACGAAGTTGAAGGGGTATATCAAGAAGAATGATGTGGTGGTTATGATTGATAGCGGGGCTACTCATAACTTTATATCTCCATCAGCTGTGAAGAAACTCAAGTTACAAACGAGTATGCATCAAAACTTAAGCGTACTTTTGGGGACAGGCGTTTCGGTTCAGGGAACGGGGATATGCAAGGACGTGAGAATTGTGTTACCATCTATGTCCTTCATTGCGGATTTCATTATATTGGAGTTAAGAAACGTGGATGTGATACTTGGGGTGCAATGGCTGCGTACGTTGGGGAAATGTGTGGTGGATTGGGAGCAAAATGAGTGGTCATTTACTTACAATGGATGTCCTGTAGTCCTCAAAGGTGATCCTTCTCTGCACGCAAGAAATGTTTCTCTAAAGACGTTATCTACAAGTGTTACAAAGGGAGAAAAGATAGGGATGCAGTCTTTGGAGCAACAAGAAGAGAATAGTGTCGTTATTCCAACACAGATAGAACAGAAGTTGCAGTTGTATGATGCAGTTTTTCAAAAACCAAAAGGGTTACCACCGATGTGTGGAAGAGAACACTCAATTACATTGCAAGCTAACTCTCCGCCTATCAGTGTGAGACCCTATAGATACCCGCACGCACACAAGGAGGCAATGGAGAAACTAGTGCAGGAGATGTTGGCAGAAGGGTTGGTTCGACCTAGTCAAAGCCCGTATTCTAGTCCTGTGTTACTTGTGAAGAAGAAGGATAACTCTTACCGTTTTTGTGTGGATTATAGAGCACTTAACAGAGCAACAGTGCCGGATAAATACCCAATACCAATGATTGAACAACTATTAGATGAATTACATGGAGCAAGGGTGTTTTCAAAGTTGGATTTGCGCGCTGGTTATCATCAGATTCGGATGTCAGAGCAGGACATTGAGAAAACAGCCTTTCGTACACATGATGGCCATTTTGAATTTCTGGTGATGCCCTTTGGTTTGACTAATGCGCCAGCCACATTTCAGTCTCTGATGAATGAGGTTTTCCGCAAGTTCTTGAGGAAGTTTGTTCTCGTGTTTTTTGATGATATTTTGATCTATAGTAGATCATTAGAAGAACACGTGCACCATTTGGGGTTGGTCTTGGATGTGTTTGTGGAACAGCAGCTGTATGCGAATCGGAAGAAGTGTGCTTTTGCTCAAGATAAGGTTGAATATCTGGGACATGTAATCACGAGTTCTGGGGTTGCTACAGATAGGCAGAAAATTGAAGCAGTGGAGAAGTGGCCAACACCAAAGACAGTTAAGGATCTGAGAGGTTTTCTAGGACTCACGGGTTACTATAGACGATTCGTTCAGAGTTATGGAGCTATTGCAAAACCTCTAACAGAGCTCTTAAAGAAGGATCAATTTGAGTGGCATGTGTTGGCTCAGACAGCTTTTGAACGTTTGAAGAAAGCCATGACTTCAACTCCAGTATTGGTTCTTCCAGATTTTAATAAGCTGTTTGTTGTGGAGTCAGACGCTTCCGGTTATGGGTTAGGGGCTGTGCTAATGCAGGATCGTCATCCTATTGCTTTTTTCAGTAGAGGTTTGACACACAAGGAACAGCAAAAACCCATATATGAGAGAGAATTGATGGCAATAGTGATGTCGATACAAAAATGGAGACATTATTTGCTAGGTCGACGGTTTGTGGTGAGAACTGACCAACAGAGTTTAAAATATCTTTTGGAGCAGCGTGAGATCACCTTGGATTATCAGAGATGGTTGACAAGGATCTTAGGTTACGAGTTTGATATTGAGTATAAGGTGGGGAGTGAGAATAAGGTTGCAGATGGTTTGTCACGAATTGACTATGCGGGATTGGAAGTGAGTTCTGTGCAGTTTTTAGCGTTGACAATACCAACTTACTTACAGCTACAGGACTTGTATGGGGAAATTGATGAGGATGTGGAGATTCAGGAGACGTTGAGGAAGTTACAGGCCAGTGAGGAGGTGAAATTTGGGTTTTCTGTGGTTAATGGCAGGTTGTTTTATAAACAGAGACTCGTCATTCCTGCAAAGTCTGCTCAGATTCCTGTGATTCTCAGTGAGTGTCATGACAGTCTATTGGGGGGACATGCGGGGGTTCTACGTACGTTACAAAGGGTTAAAGCAACCTTCTATTGGTCTAAGATGAGGAAGAGAATTCAAGACTATGTTGCGGCCTGTGATGTTTGTCAGAAACATAAGTATTCAACATTGTCTCCAGCGGGTCTACTGCAACCAATTGAGTTACCGGTTCGTATTTGGGAAGACGTGGCCATGGATTTTATCGAAGGATTGCCTACTTCTAATGGGGTCAATGTCATACTGGTGGTGGTCGATAGATTGAGCAAATATGGGCATTTTATCACACTCAAACACCCTTTCACAGCTGTGGATATTGCTCAGAAGTTTGTGAAGGAAGTGATTCGCTTACATGGTTATCCTAAGTCCATAATTTCAGACAGAGATAAGATTTTTTTAAGTGCCTTTTGGAAGGAGTGCTTTAGGCTCTCGGAAACTCGTCTCCGGTTCAGCACAGCATTCCATCCCCAATCTGACGGTCAGACGAAAGTTCTTAACAGGTGCTTAGAAACGTTTTTGCGGTGTTTTGCTTCTACACATCCTAAGATGTGGTCGAAATATGTTCCATGGGCTGAACTTTGGTATAACACATCATACCACACGGCTTTGAAATGCACTCCGTTTCAGCTGGTCTATGGGAGGGAGCCTCCGACATTACTGGCGTATGAGTTTGGTTCAACACAGAACTCAGAGGTAGAAGTGTTGCTATTAGAACGTGACAAGTTCTTGGGGTCTATAAAAGATAACTTGTTGCGCGCTCAGGAACGTATGAAAAATAATGCAGACAAGCATAGACGGGAGTTGGAGTTCGAGGTGGGATCTAGAGTGTACTTGAAGTTGCGACCATACCGGCAGCAATCTGTGAGTAGAAGGTTGTATCAGAAATTAGCTGCAAGGTATTATGGTCCGTATGAGGTCATTGGCAAGGTGGGGGCAGTAGCTTATCGTTTGAAGTTACCTGCGGAATCTCGTATTCATCCAGTATTTCATGTTTCCCAACTGAAACCTGTTGTGGGTGATTCGTCGGTGGTATCAGAGATTCCGTTGTCGATGACAAGAGAGGATGAAGTGTTGATTGAGCCAGAAGAGATTGTGGAGACTCGTTATGACAAGGAGGGTCATTTAGAAGTTTTTCTCAAATGGAAACACTTACCACAGCATGAGTCTTCTTGGTTAAAGATCAGTGAGCTGAAGAATCAATTTCCGGGTTTCTCACTTGAGGACAAGCTGAGACTTGCGAACGGGGGTATTGATATGCTACACAGAGTTTATGTGAGGAAGCAGAAGGAGGTGGAAGCGAGGAAGGATTAAAGAAGTGAAGTCTACGTGGCATTACTTGTTACATAAATAAAAGAATAAAGAGTTTGTTACGATTGTACTTTGAGCCTCAGTATATAAGAGGACTCAAAGAGAATAGAAAGGCAGTTAGTTGGTTGTAGAGTCTTGACTCTCTCTCTCTCGAGGAGCAAGAACGATTGTAATCTTGGCTTAGCCTCCGACTTGTGGAGCTAAGAGTGGGTGGTTGGACGGTTATTCGTTAATAAACTTCTAGATTCTATCAGTTTCACCTGCAAAAACTGAAGCGAAACATGGTGAGTCACAAGCAATAAGAAGGAAGAGCAGCAATAAGATAAGCATATGTTATACATGTCATACAATAAGGAATATCCAATAAAAATAGCCACGAACGGGGTGTCTACTGATTCTTAAAGTCCCATATATGACACCGGTTCTATGGTTTAAATGTATTTTCGATTTTTTTTTTGTGTGTTTTTCTCAAGAATCCTTTTTACAAAACCTTGCGATGGAAATGATCTTATACCACTTGGTGGGTGGGTCTTGTTTGTTATGGTGTTCTCCATAGAAACTTTTTCTTTATTAATTGAATTATTCAGAGTTAAAAAAAAAAGACTAATTGATTTTGTCTTCTGTTTCACGTGTTCTTAAACGGAATCATGAAACTTCCTTGAAAATGAAAAGAGATTAAAAGAAAAAGCTTTTATTTAAACAAAAAAAAAGAAGAAAAAGCTTTAGCTCAAAAGAAAAAGAAGGAAAAAGCCAAAAGAGAAAGGCTTATTTATTGTCGTAATCAAACATGGATCTGTACGAAAGAGACCATTGGCGACTTAGAGTTGACATTGACCCTTTTCTCTCTCTTTCAGTAGCCATGGTTGCTCTGCGTTTCATCTACTCATCATCTTTTCTTCTTCTTCTTATTCATCTCCTCACTCCTCAAGCTCAGCCTCACTCTCTCACTAAGCCCACCTCAAGATTCTCGATTCAAGAAGCTACTGTTGATGACATCAGACTTGCTTTCAGTGAGAAGAAACTGACATCAAAGCAACTCGTTGAGTTCTATCTCGAAGCAATCTCCAAACTCAATCCGTTACTACACGCAGTCATTGAGACCAACCCAGATGCGTTACTCCATGCAGAGATGGCAGACAGAGAACGCCAGCTCAAAGGCGTCACTAAGCTTCCAATGTTGCACGGTGTTCCTGTTCTGCTCAAGGACAACATAGCCACCAAAGACAAGCTTAACACAACCGCTGGTTCCTTTGCTCTGCTTGGCTCGGTCGTGCCTCGAGACGCGGGTGTTGTCAAGAGACTACGAAGATCTGGTGCTGTGATCTTGGGAAAAGCCAGTTTAAGCGAATGGGCTAACTTCCGTGGTTTCATCCCAAATGGTTGGAGCGCACGTGGCCTCCAAGGAAAGGTTAGTTTCTTCTTTCCATCCAATGCGTAGAGACATGAACTACCAAAGAGTAAAAGATCTGGATTGTGTGTGTTATTCATTAGTGTGACCTTCGATATAAACATTCAACCAAATGGTTTTGGTCTAGTAGTAAAGGGATTCCAGCTAGAGTTTCCATCCTGGGTTGGATTCTCCTTGATCACCCCATAGACACTTTAAATAACAAGAAAATACGAATTTCTGTAGATTTTATGATGATTAGTTTTTGGGTCTAGAAAGTTTTAAGATCACACCATGGTTATCAAAAAAAATATATATATAAACATTCTCTTAATTTTTATCCATTGCATTTCCTTAAGTTTAAGCACAAATTTATTTTTCATCGGGATAGTTGAAAAGTGGTGAAGCGTACAATTTTTTTTAATTTTGTTTTACTGTATGTGAATTAGTTTTTAATTAACTATGAGGCTTTCATTAGAGTTATAACTTTACCATGTACAGTATAACCTCTTTAAATTAATAATCTATAAATTAACATCTCTATAAATTAATATAATTTCATAGTCCCAAACTGAATTTTTGGTTCAATTAATATCTCGATAAATTAATAATCTCTATAAATTAATAAAATTTTAGTTTTGGTGTAGTCCCAACATTATTAATTTATAGAGGTTATTTAATTCTTTAACAATTTGAAATGCGTCTCTTTTTTTTATTGATCAACTGAAATGGACCCTTATAATCAGTAAAACTAGAGTTTGTACCCGCACATTCGTGCGGGTATATTTTTCATTTTTAAAAATTTATTTAATATTAATGTAAATGTTTTAAATATATAATTTATATTTTATGTTATATATTGGGTAAATTTATAATCTAATTGGTGTAGGTTTTTATTCAGTATTATTAATATATAATTTTCTTTAATTTTTTACATTTTTATTCCATTATTAATATAAATTGTTTTTTATATTTTCTCAACATATTATTTTATAATAAAATATTAAATTTTCAGTTAAACATATTTTTCACTAATATTTTCTGAATTAGTAAAACTTTCTAATAGTGCAATTCTATTTTAATATAACATAGACTATAATATGAAATTTATAAAATAGTATAGGATTTTTTTTTTGTTATTAGAGTGAAACTTTAATTAATATTAATTTATAATAGTATAATATTATTAATTACGAAATTCATTATTATGTTATTTAATAAAAAAATATTTAAACTTTTAGTAAGATTTTGTTAGATTTTCTCTCAACCGATTCTGTTATAACTAAAAATAAAATATAAATCTATTATTTTTAGCATATATGATATATATTTGATTGATTAACCTAAATAATTTAATATGTCATATTAAGTGATTAATGAAATGGTCATATATGACTTATTTGTAATAGATAAAAATAGTGACTCTATTTTAATAGAGTAGATAACACAAAATATTTGTGGGTTCATAGACCTAGGGAAACCGCTTCTGCAGGCCATGGCCTAGAGCCGGGACTGACTCTTGACCAAAAGATAAGGACAATATGATATATAGATTAGAACTTGTCTATATATAATTATCTCTAATAGTCATGTTTATTTCTAATAAAATGCATTGCTCTATAAAATACTTGGTAAAGTTGCTGACAAAAACTAATCTAGTCAATCTTAAAAAATGCTGCAGAATCCATATGTTTTATCAGTAGATCCATTCGGGTCAAGTAGTGGATCAGCTATTTCTGTAGCAGCCAATCTTGTGGCCGTGTCACTAGGGACTGAAACTGATGGTTCCATTCTTGCTCCATCTAATCAGAACTCGGTAGTTGGTATTAAACCGAGTGTCGGGCTCACGAGCCGAGCCGGGGTGGTCCCTATCTCCTTGAGACAGGACAGTGTTGGGTGAGACTAAGAGCACCTAACCTAACTCCTTGCTAAACTATTTCATTTTGTACTTTTTTTTGCTTAGTTTATATATATGTTTCTTGTGTGTGTTTGCAATGTTAGGCCGATGTGTAGGACAGTTTCGGATTCTGTTTATCTTCTTGATGCTATTGTGGGTTATGATCCATTGGACGAGGCCACGAAAACTGCTTCTAAGTACATACCCAAAGGCGGTTACAAGCAGTTTTTGAGACGCAATGGCCTCAAGGGTAAGAGATTAGGGATTGTAATGGGCTCTCTTCCTGATAATCACATCAAAACACTAAGGTAATATTCGTTATAAGTTTCATTTTTAATTTTATAAACTCATAATATCTAACACTATAGCTCTGTTTTTTCTTGGACGGTAGACAAGAAGGAGCCATCGTCATTGAAAATTTAACGTTACCAATCACAGATAGCGGTGAAGGAATAGCACTTTTGGCTGAGTTCAAAATCTCTCTTAACGCATATCTTAAAGAACTTGTGAAATCACCAGTCCGATCCTTAGCAGATGTTATTGCCTTCAACAAGAAATTCAAAAAGGTAAGCTTTTAAGATTGAATTCACATTTTTTCTCGGGTAATATGAGTCAACAATGCAGAAAAAAAAATATGACAGGAAAAGGTGAAAGAATGGGGAGAAGAAGTCTTCCTTGAAGCAGAAGCAACAAATGGAATGGGTGATAAAGAAAAAGAAGCGTTGCTTTCAATGAAAGAAGTTTCGAGGAATGGAATCGAAAAGCTAATGAAAGAGAAGAAGTTAGATGCTATAGTGACAGATGGTTTTATGTTGAGCTCTGTCCTCGCCATTGGAGGGTATCCAGGAATCAATGTCCCTGCAGGATATGATAGTGAAGGAGTTCCCTTTGGGATTAGCTTTGGAGGGTTGAGATTCTCTGAGCCAAAGCTCATTGAGATTGCCTATGGCTTTGAACAATCAACTCTCATTAGGAAACCACCCAAATTTAAACCTTGAGGGCACATGGAAAGTTGATATTTGGGGAAAAATACCTTGGTTTTATGTACTTTTTATTCGGAGACTAGAAATAATGTGCATGACTTTTATCATTATCAATTGTCCGATCCTTTTTTCCGCCTTCTCTTCAAGTTAAAAGTTCAAATACTATATTAAGGGGGAGGGCAGAACTCTGGGCTAACAAAACAAGTTGAAAGTATTAATCTCAGTTGAAATACTTAGTTGGATTTAAATATAGTATGTAAGTATGAGAGAGGTAAACTGAGATGAGAACATTGTATATTGAGAAAAAAATAGATTCAAGGGCAAAGAGATAGAGTGATACCTCAATGAAAGTAACAAGCAAAAATATGCTGATTGTTAATAATAGCAGCAACAATAGGCATCCAAACTCAAAGTTCTAGATTTGACAAAATGAGCATTATCATATCCTAATACAAAACATTTAAACATAGACACAACTAGCATCACAGTAATATGTTTGATAACACTCTGGGTTATATAGTATAATAGTTGTGTTTTAGTCTCCTCGCCACGTAAAATCGAACTGAAAGGGGTATGTAAGGGACATTTTTAGGCAGGAGGGAAGTATTTGTGGAGATTGAAAGGAAGAGCATAGAACTCTTCGGTCCTCGGGTCACCCTTGAAAGTCCAGAATCTGTCCCACCAATGTTTACCTCGGTCTTTCCTGATCGAACCATCTTTCTTGTGAAGCGTTGTGTCCAACAAGTAAGCCACACATCCTCCCACAAAGGCCTTGGACGAGAAGGGAACATTGACCATGTCATTGAACCATCTTGCTCCTGTATGAACTGGACCATAGCCTTTAATGGCTGTGTGCTCGTTGAAATACTGTGGAATAGATAGGCCTAGGAAGATTGAGAATCCCAAAATGAACAACGTCCTGAAGCTATTCAGGTTACAGTACTGCAGCAAACTTAGTCCTCCAGCACCTGACCAACCGCTTTTTGTTTTAAACATGAGAGAGATATAACAACAACCAGATTTTGCTCACCCTACTGTATATATTGTTTGCTTCTGCTGCTTATAAACAATTAATACTTACCTACATACGCGAAGAAGAGACAGAACAAGGCGGAAACTATAGGAGCAGGTATTGATGCAAACACCGCCCCAAACTTCCCTAAATATTAAAGAAAATCAAATTAATTAATGCGTTACTACTTCAATTGTTGAATAATTTTTTTTTTTTTAAGCTTACCAAGAACTGAGAAGAATATCATAAACCCTGCAGATATTTGGACAACTCTCCTGCTACCGACTTTTGTAAGTGCTAGAAGACCCGCATTCTCGCTGCAGACAACATATTTGACAACAAACACCACATTTAAATCAAAAAATCAATGCATGTCTTAGAGGTTTGGAGAAATGTAATGAGGTCTTACACAGAAACTGAAGATCCTATGCCAGTTCCAAACAACCCTGAGATTAAAATTGCAACTCCCTAGCCAAATGTTTAACATAGATGAGACACAAAAACGTTAGATATGTGACCCCACTTACTTAGCCCTGAGAAAATTAAGCTTAGAAATTGAGAATTTTACCTGCCAACCAACACCGCGGCTGATAACAGAAGGTGGCGGCATTGTGGCACTAGCATATCTTGAGACGGCAATAAAAGCGCCTGTTGACTGTTTTTTTTTTCACGTTAATAAACAAATTAAACCCAAGAAAATAAGACAAGATTAAAACAAAGAGCTAAGAAAATATCAAAGTTAAAAATATATGAGAATTAATGTGTGATGGAGTGAAACAAACCTCAACAAGGGCAACAAAAGAAGCCATCATCATGGCGAAGGCTTCACCGGCATCAAATAATGGTGATCCCCACTGGAACGGCCATGGAACTCTTATCCTACACGGTGATGTAAGAATAAAATTACACTTGAGCATCAGTCATTAAAAGAACTACAGTGTCCAACGTCCAAGCTATGTTCTGTGTTATTTACCATGGAGCAGCACCTATGAGCCCAGCACGATCAGTTCGGCAGCTTCTTTGAGTATCTGTTTTGTCACCATTATAGGCACCACCAATTGTAAGAAAAAAGGCGTATAGCCAAACTATCGCCACAGTAAATATGACTGCATAGCGAGCGAACACATGTTTTCCTCCCTTTATAACATGTGGCATGTACTTTGCAACAACAAAAAAAAAAAATAGACAATAAGAACACACTTGAAACAATAACTTATGACGTGAAAAAAAATTGTTGTAACTACGATTACATGTGAGATCAGTATAAGAATGATAAGCCCCGGCAGTCCAATCTCGATACACTTAGCAACCTAACACAATCGATATATTTTTCAGATAATTTATTAGTATTTTTTATTTATATATCTTTTTGTGGTTCGATTTACAGAACAAAAAGACTTACACCGGGAAAGCCTAACTCGTAGAGGCCAAAACCAACTAGTCCAACCAGAGGAGCAGCAGAGAGAGGACTTAAGAACCTGTGACTTAACAGAACTTCGATAACATATTATCCTCGACAGACAGACACAGTGTGAAACAATAATAATATTTTGAAAACTGACCTTACAACATTACGCCAAAGGCCACTGAAGCCAAGGATAATCTGAAGAGTTGAAGCAACAATTAGAGCACCTTGTGTTGCTCGAATGATCCTCGTAAACCGCTGATTAATGCATCAAACTATTATTAGCAAGCTGATTAAAAAAAATAAACACAATAGAATAGGAGGGAACAAGCGAACGAACATCAACTGGATCAGCAACATCGTTGAATCTCCCAGAAAGCATGATTGAGATTGTAACTGGCACAAATGTATAAGATGCTCCAATAATAGCAGGCAATCTAGTTCCAAACACAGTTTGGAGAAGTGTGTTTATTCCAGCTACAAAGAGTATTGTCTGAATCAGCTTCGCCTTCTCTTCCTGAAAGAATCCAATCATACACAGAGAGAGAGAGAAATTAAAAAGAAAGACTGAAAGAGAGATTATATCTCCACAAACTGTTTGTTTTCAAGAAAAAAGACTTACATTTCTACCTCCCATTTGTGGAACAAGAGCGGATGGAATCAGAACGGTTGTTCCAAGCATTACAAGGTAGTGTTGAAACCCAAGCAGAATAGCTTCAGCTAAAACAGATAAAAAGAACAAACTCTCAATCTCCACTAATAATACCAAACAATAAAAGCTCGGAACCTCATTTTCAACACAAGAACAACAACAACAACAAAAAAAACTAAATACTAAATCAGAAACATATCATTAAAAATTAGATCCGCTAAAAAGGATCATTAAGTTTATTTACCTATGTTAAACAAAAGAATGATCCTCAAACGAGATAGAAGATTCTAAAGGTAATAAGAACAATTCTTAAAGAAGAAAAAAAAGTAAAGAATCTAATTCATCACTTTAGAGCAAAAAAGGTAAAAAAAGCAGAGCCACTTTCAGAAAAGAAAACAGAAGAATCTAATCAATCACAAAGTCTCCTACGGAGAAGGAATTAGATTAATCTAGGAGATGCAAAGATAAAAACAAAACTAACGCCATGGAGGAGGGCTTGTGATGCAGTAAGAGATATCTGGAAGCTGTTCTTTTGGAGGATGTGGTTGTGGCTCAGACGCCGCTTTCGGTGCCGGGGCTGACATCTTTTTTAAGCTCTGCAACAAAATACAAAAACAAAACAAAAACTTTCACATAACCTGGAAAGTGACTCAACATACAAAATCCCAGAAAAGCAAAAGTCACGATGTTTGAGCTCACGGCGAAATCGAAAACAAGAATCCAGAAAAAAGAAGAAGAAAGAAGTCGTTTTAAGCTAAACTCACATCATAAAACTACTCAAAATAAGAGAGAAAGAGATGAGTTTACGTAATTGTTGCAAAAGAGTTTCTTTGAAAAACTGTGGTGAGGAAGAAGGAAGACTTGAGAGGGAGAGGGAGAGAGAGCAGAGAAGAAGAAGCTTGAGGAAGGAGAGTGAAAAGAGAGACAGGTGTGTGTGCTCTGCTGCAGTCTGTGTTACTTGTGCACCGACTGACGTAAGCACGAAAACAACCTTCTACCTGTCTTACTATTAATTAATGTCATTAGAATTTTTTGACAATTAATGAATGAATATCTAAATTACTTTGTTGGCAATGAATAATAGATGTGTCCACGTTGCAGCACCAAACTGCTATTATATAACAACAGCGTCACTAAAACCAAAAGAAAGATGTTAGAGCGTGGTTATCCTTTATACTCAAAATGTGTATCAAATCTATTTTTAATAGTATTAACAGTTAATATGAGATTAAGAGACTTATTTAAGATATCCAAATATTTTTGTCTTTCAATACAAATATCTTATTTCAAGTTCTTAAGAAAAATAAATTAAATAAAAATAAAATTTATTTACTACACAAAACATTATAAAAGATAATATATTAAACATATATTTAACAAAACACAAAACAAATAATACTAAAATAAACAAGAATAATTTGAAAGAAACATTTGAGCTCAGTTATCGTGTTCATTATATCCAATATATGTTCAACCATATCAACTTTCAATTGTTGACGCATATCACGAATTGTAGTTCGAACATCCATCATATTTTTGAAATTTGGAGATAATTCTGCAGAAAAATCGAGATCAAAATGTGAATTTTCGGTGTCTTCGCGTTGTTGGAACTCTGAAACATTTAACTGAGTGTATCCATCTCGTTCATCATTTACTATCAGTTATATTATTATATAAGATGTAAATTTGTTTAGTTGTCAACTTTTCCTTAATTTTAGATAAATTTGTTTATTTACCTTATTCAAATAATTTCATATATAATTTATTATTAAAAAACGAATTTATATTAATAATATTATATTTTAGAAAATATGTTAATTATTTTGTATTAAATTGTTTTCTTAAAAATATTTTTTATTATAAAATTCAAGTAAATTTACTGATTGATTTGTAACTTCACCATAATTTTTGTAATTTTTCTTATTTGATTTTAATAATTTTATGAATAATTTAACATATAATAAAAAAAATTTCTATTAATAATATTCTACTTTTAGAAAATAAGATAATTCTTATGTATTATATTGTTATCTTTAAAATATATTTTAATCATAGAAATTAAAATTAAGTTAAAATATTAATAGTTGAATATAAAGAAATCAATTCTGATTTATCAACTTCTCCATGGTTTTATATTTTGCTTATTTATCATAGTTTAATAATTTCATATATAATTTATTAAATAATAAAAATAATGTATACAAATAATACTAAATTAAAAAAATAAATAATTCTTATGTATTAGACTGTTATCTTAAACATATATTTTCTATTAGAAAATTTAAGTGAATTATCTGATTTGTAATTTCTCCATGATTTAGATAATTTTGATTATTTGCCATATTTTTAATAATTTCATATAAAATTAGTAAAATAAAAACGAATTTCTATTAAAAATTATATTTTGAGAAAATAAGATACTACTTATGTATTATATTGTTATTTTTATTATTGAAATAAAAAATTAAGATAGAAAAAATTCTAAGTAAAATAAATTAAAGTAACACATTTGTAAAAATATATTTTTAAAAATATTTTGTTATGTGAGTGTTGTCATTTATAATTAATTTTAAAACGTAAATCATAACTTATTATATTGGTTTGAATTAATAAAATATAGATTAATAATAAATTATACAAAAATTATGCCCGTATGTGCGGGAAAAACACCTAGTGTTATATTATGATGCATCCTCCCATAATCATCCCAATTTTCGCTTTATCCCAAAAAAATGTTGGATTTTTAACAATTGCAAAACGAGCTTTGCAATACTCTCAAAGAACGCTCGACATCTTTTCGGACAGCTTCTTAATGTTGAGCAAATAAAACCGCTTTCGGCCCCTGCGGTAGTGGAATAAATTGGATAAAAGTTGCCCCTTTCTGATAAATACCGTCGGTGAGATAGTAAGCCAAATGATACTTTCTTCTATTGACAGAGAAAGTGACTTTCGGAGCTTGACCTTTTATTATATCATCAAAAACATGTGAGCGATCAAGAACATTGATATCATTTAAAGTACCTAAAGGTCCTATAGAATAATCGATCGACACTGTGACTGATCGGACAATGTTGTCTAAGTCAACGACCTTCTGGTCAATAAACTTATTTATTAAATGAGAGTTTAGTAAATTTGTTGATTAAGATAGTTAATCTTCTTCAATACCATGTAAACAACTAGATAGCACCTAAAGGATTATAATCCCAACACCTGCCTAAAAGCCTTAAGTCTAACACTTTTTCATTTTAGTTTTAAAACTCTCATTCCGTTCTTGTTAAGTAATTGTCTTGCTTAATTGGAATATTGCATGTTTAGTTTACTGCGTTTTACTATTTATATTCACCTGGGTTATTGATTGATTAGATTTAATAGGTTCCATAGCTCCTTGTGGATTTTGATCCATAATTACTGCAATAGATCTCTTATTTGAGAGAGTAAGTTGCTCTATAGGGTAAATATTTGAGAAAACATCAAATTAGGCGCCGTTGTTGGGGAGCTTTGATAGCCTTTAGATTTAGTCTAATAATTCTAGGTTTTTCTTTTTCTTTTTCTTTTATCACCTTCTGATAACAATTTTCTTGATTTTTCAGGTGCATGCATAGTATAACGAGAAGCAACAAGGAAAAACAACTCTTATTTTCGGAAGACCCTGCAAGTTTGGAACGTTCAATCCGCAAAAACCTACGTTCCGCATCGATCGAACACAATCTATTTATTACCGAGCTTCAACCACAATCTATATCTAACCAGAACATTAATCACCTAAATTCAACCACAATCTATCTCTAACCAGAATATTAATTACCTAAATTCAACCACAACACTAACCAGCATCATTTATTACCGAAGTGAACCCATGACCAGAATCCAGAAAAGAAAATGATTTACATGTATTGCTCTTGTCGTCCTTGATTATGACCAGCATCACGGTATATTAAGATCCATCTATATTAAGACCGAAACACAGAAACATATCAAAATTAATAGGCATGATCATTGAACCAATATCAAAATGTGTCAAAGCTTTGAAGTAAAATTAATAGACATGATGATCATTAAACCAATAACTCATTATCAGAAACGCAAATAATATACATAACATAGAATATCAGAGAAGAATGGTATACCTTGATTGTCTCTTCCATAGAATACGATTCCATCTGCAAATGAAGAACTGAGAATTAACTGACAAATAACTGCGAGATGAACAAGACAAGCACATGCAAAAACCTTTCCGTTCAACTTAGCTAATTGAAGGATTCAAACATTAAAAAAATTCCATAGCTTTTACCGTAGATATGATTCATCGGCGAGGAGGAGGGCCCCCAATGATATGATTCCTCGTCGATTAAGAGAGCCACCGATGAGTTGATTTGTGCTCAATCAAGAGAGCCACTCTCTATTTGATTGCTCGTCCAGGAATTGATTCATCTTCGAGTTTGAGAGAAGACATCGATTTGATTCCTCGTCGAGAAGGAGAGCAGCCTTCGATTTCATTCGCGTCATGTTGGAGAGGAACCATATATTTGATTCGGAGTCGAGGAGGAGAGGAATCGGCCATTTGCTTGACTTCCTCAATGAGTTGAAACTGATCTTTGGTCCCTTTGTTTTCTCCTCCCAAAAGAGCTATCGGGCGACGCGTGGAAAACAATAACCGTGTCGTCTGTCATCTAATTAAGATACGGTTTAAATGATAATTGCCATTTTTTATTTTCTTTAATTTCTCATTTACTCTGAAACCTCCTTTTACACATGACGATGATCATGGTCTTAGCGTATAGTACATCAGTTTCTTAAAGAAAAATAGTACAGTTCTCTTGAATTATTTAATTTACTTTAAAGTTTTTGAATTAGTTTTACCAATACAAACTGAACACCTGTAAAATTAATTCCTCAAAATTGTGCAAGAGTATCTTCAGCAAGAGACTAATCCTTCTTCTCTCTTTCATTTCTATAATATTTTTCTTACTTTTTCATTTTCATTAATGATAAAACGGTGAGAGACTCTTAGAGAGACTTCCACTAATGGTGTTCGGTATTGGTATTTAGGCCTCTCAAATTTGGGCCATATAACTCGGACACTCTAAGACCTAAGCTCCCCTATTGAACCTGAAACATATTAGTACACTCTAAGACCTCAAGGGTAAGAGATTAGGCATTGTAGTGGGTTCTCTTCCTGTTAATCATATCAAAACACTAAGGTAGGTTTCGTTATAAGTTTCATTTTTAATTTATCAACTGAGAACTCATAATATCTAACTATACCTTTGTTTTTTTCTTGGACGGTAGACAAGAAGGAAAGAGCCATCGTCACTGAAAATTTAACGTTACCATACACAGATAGCGGTGAAGGAATGGCATTTTTGGCTGAGTTCAAAATCTCTCTTAACGCATATCTTAAAGAGCTTGTTAGATCACCAGTCCGATCCTTAGCAGATGTTATTGCCTTCAACAAGAAATTCAAAAAGGTACCGTAACCTTTAAAATTGAATTCATATTTTTTTCTCGGGTAATATGAGTCAACAATGCATAAAAATGACAGGAAAAGGTGAAATAATGGGGACAAGAAATCTTCCTTGCAGAA